GCTGTAGACCAGTGTTTCTCAACCTTTTTTCAGTCAAGGCACCCTTTGAAATTATGGACAGTCCAGTGGCAACCTTTAAAATTATGGACAGTCTTGAGGCACCCCATTCTAAAATGTGAAAAAACTATTCTAATAGTTTTATATAACGCAGCAACATCCACACATGTAGGATGCCCAACATTAGAGGTGATTTATTCTTCCAAAGCAAATACGCTTTTGCACACTGGTACTGACTAGTATTCCAATGTTTCTCTTCTCCATCAGTTTTTCTCAATCACTGAGCTAATGTGACAACAGCACTGATGGAGAGGGGCAGGGGACAGTCAAACCAGGATGCTGTGCGGGTAACCAGGACGTGTCAGGACACAGTCAGTTAGAAGGTTGTATAGGTGCACAATGAAAACCTGTGGCTTTGTGTAGCTAAAAGGCAGGCTTGTTCCACCCGCTGGCTTGTATACAAGTTTTGGGCAATTTTTAGACATTTTGCCAAGACATCCCTTAACCCCTTGACGCTGATCGCAAACAGATTATGCCCTGTGCGCTCCCAGCACATATGTCCGCGACTCCCGGAAAGGTCCCGATCTCCCATTTCGATTGGGCCCTTTTCCGATCATGTGACTGTCGTGACGGTGAATCATGGCGATTACATGATCCTAAAACCCCACCTCCCAGCTTCTGAAACTCTTAAAGGGCCGGGAGGTGCCAGCGCCAAGAGGATAAGAAACCTCAAGGCACTTAAGGGTGCCTGGGCACCCTGGTTTAGAAAGGCTGGTCTAGAGGAGAGATATACTTGTTCCACTACAAACCAAATGTTTACATCTTGAAATGTAATGATTCATATCTGAACATTTCGGCTGTCAGACTTTCATTTAGTAGTTAGGCAACCTGGGCACCCTGGTTGAGAAAGGCTGCTGTAGACAACACTGCAACTCGTGACAGATTCATATAACTGTTGGTAGAGTTCCAGAATTTCTGCAGACAGAATTTTGTCTCTGACAAGATACACAATTTACTCCAGCATGGAAGAGGTCTTATTTGCTTCCACATTTCTTCACACATAGTGGTATTTCTGCCACAACCATAGCTCCAGAAAGTAAAATTGTGTCACATAAGAACTACCTGAATTTGTTGCATCCATTGGAAACAGCAAGAAAACTGTTGCATGGCTTTCATGAATTTGTTGGCCAGAAAAAGGTCACAAATGCTTTATTGAATATCTCCCAGTAACCTCCACTGACTGCACAGCAGAATTCTCTGTATAGGTGTATATGTTAGATGTGCTCTGCTATTACAAGATCTATTCCACACCAGTTTATGTTTAATTCATAAACTATGGACCAGGGGCGGACTGACAACTCATGGGGCCCCCGGGCAATAGGGGATCATGGGGCTCCTGTGTCCTTCTCAAACTCAAAAAAGCCTATGAAAAAGGTACCAGGGGCATCTCATGGGGAACCCTACTGACCCGGGCCCTCGGGCAGTGCCCGAGTTTCCAAATGGTCAGTCTGCCCCTGATGCAGAGACTCAAGTTGTCTCTCCTTACCCCCTGTGCTTATATAGAAACATACAGCTCCATAGCTTAGGATGGCAAAGCACTCATCTGTTCCTCCCTTCTCCTCCCTCCTTCCTTCTCCAAGCTAACAGACTGTCTCCAAACTGCATTGTTCACTGCTGTTTCCTGTGAAGACTGAAAGTTCAGGGAAGCAGCACTGAAAAAACACTAGCCAGTTGTATTGAAAGCTATAAACTGCCAGCGCTAGGGTAAGTATGTTAAAAAATAATTTACTTGGGTATGTTTAACCACTTGCCCTGCAAAGGATTTACCCCCCTTCCGAACTAGGCCATTTTTTGCGTTACGGCACTGCATTACTTTAACTGACAATTGCGCGGTCATGCAATGCTGCACCCAAATGAAACGTACACCCTTTTTTCCCACAAATAGAGCTTTCTTTCAGTGGTAATTGATCACCTCTGCATGTTTTTTTTTTTTTGCGCTATAAACAAAGACCAACATTTTTGAGAAATAAACTATATTTTTGATTGCTTTCTATTAAACATGTCCAATAAATTTTTTTTAAAAATCAATGTATTCTGCTACATGTCTGTGCTAAAAAAAAGTCCCAATACGTGTAAATTAATTGTGTTTGCAAATGGTGCTATATATACTGGATTTTTTTAATTTATTATTTTATTACTAGTAATAATGGCGATCAGCGACTTATAGCGGGACTACGGCGGGAATTCTGACACGGGGGAACTGACTTGGTGTCACTGACATCCCCAGTGACACCAAAACAATGATCAGTGCTAATAAAAAGCACTGACACTGTACTAATGGCACTGGGCAGGAAGGGGTTAACATTGGGGGTGATCAAAGGGTTAACTGTGTGCTGTGTCACAGTATGCTGTGTGTAGTCTTTCCACTGTAAGCACACTGCTTTGTATGGCTCTGCTGTTCAGAACCATACAAAGCAGTGTGCAGGAGCTGACGGGAGAGATCTGTATTGTTTACAGTTCTAGTAATCACCGGCCGGCACCCTGCGATTGACAGCCAAGAAAAACCCCACAAGAAAGAAAGGATACAGCACCTCAATTGCTAATGAACAGGATATATTTATTAGACGTAAAAAATTACAATGCACATACATTCCCACCCCCCACCACCCGCCAAAAAATCGGTCCCTCCAAGAGACTGAAAGCTAAGGCTGGGAATGGCGGCGTGGGTGGGGCACGTGTGCGTGGCTTGCATGCGCCCCCTATCCGGAACTGCAAAATCATGTATATATACGTGATTTTGTGCACCCCTGCCGCCTTGTAGCTGTATTTCTGCTATAGGGCAGAAGGGAAGCGATTAGTTGTGCTTAATGAGTTAAATTTTACTAAAAAAAGGACCCTGCATTCACTATATCTGGTCACCCACAGTACACAGGACATGGAAATACAATTATTTTAATAAATATAAACTGCTCGATACCTTTTCTCATCAGCAGTCCTATGAGGCTGCATAACCCCTGCATAACCCCTGCATGTGATCAGCACAGGGCCAATCAGCACTGTCCAGACAGAGGGTCCTGTCTGGACAGTGCTGATTGGCCCTGTGCTGATCACATGCACCCTCCCAAAGAAAAAAAAACCCTCTAGCCATACACATCAAACATGCATGTGCGGAGAGTGACTTCTAGAGCTCTGTACTATCAACAGATGGATTGGGGAAAGTAGAAGAAGGGGAGGATCAGAGAAGACAGGATCAAAAATCCTTTTTACACAATGCAGAGGATAAAACCCTTAGGTTCCACAGTGAGTATAACAAGCATGATTTACTGCATATACAGACTGATTTTACTGTTGTGGGTTTAGCAACATTTTAAGATATTAAAAAAAAAACACCGATGGTTTAATAATATAAGTGACTACTAAGCTGTCAAGGGATTGTACTCACTCTGGGAATGTAAAATACTTCTGGTATGAAGCACTTGGGATGTAGTAATATATCTCATACTATGTTTTGATTTAATAATGCTATTATGTAATCCATGTGTATGTCCCTGAACTATAAATGTAATAGTTGTTGATCATTTCTAGTAATACGCTTAGCAGGGCAGCATGACAGTAGCCTAGCCCATGGTCTTTGTGACCTTTGCGGTGGGCTCAGGCGGTGGGCATGGGAAGAAGGATACAATGTGTGATAGCAATAGATGGGGAGCAGCTGGGATACAGAAATAGGATGTGATATTCCCTCCCCTTTGGAATAACAACACTCTTCCATTCCAAATCCCTGTGTGTGCAGCTCATGCCAAAGATGGTCAACAAGGAGGCGCTGCATCCAATGCTATCCGCCTGTGAGCCACTGACAACAGCCAGGATCCCAGCTGAAAACATATTAACTCCTTCCAACCCAGGAGCAGTTCTGCAGGTAAACAATGTCTCTCTTATGATGCTACATTGACAAGGTTACGATGCACAGGCAGAATTATGGCACTTGCACTGCTGGGGAGGCTCCAATTCAAATTAGAGATTGTAAAAGTTGCTGCAGTCATGGAATGGATGACAATGATGTATGACAAAGGCATAGGTGATGATAAAAGAATACATGGAATATTTGCATGCTGTGACCGGTGCGGAGATAAAGCTAGACCTGTGTGTATCTCTTTCAGTCAATGATTGACAGGTGAGCTCTATCCTTCACCACATCAGGTTGAGGGCAACAGACGGTGACAGGCAGGATTTTGTCATTTGGAAGGATTGCATGCTGCTGGCCATTGCTTTGTGTTGCACCTGAATACAGCCAGTGGCTTTGTGCCTTAGTGTGGAGGAGGAGGGGACGCCAAGATCTAGCCAAGGCTGACAGCTCATTGCTAATCCCACTAGTTATTAGGAGGTGGCGTCTCTGGGCTGATGGTAATGGATTTGCAATGAAATTTTACAACCTTTATTTACAGTAGCATAACCACAAGATGAGTGTACAGGCAGCTGAGGCTATCCACACAATAGCAGAGCATTGTGGTTGCTGCTATTATGACATTCTGTCATCTGTGGGAGGGAAGGTAATGTTTGGGGAAAACTGACATGGCTGGGTAAATACTGCATGCTGTTGACTGATATTTATTTTCTATTGCCCAAAGCCTGACCATTTAGGAACGTTAGGCAGCCAATAGAGGGGGTGCCATTAAAGTAGATGGCCTCTGCCAAATCAGATTATTCTGTAATCTAAATAAACAAGTGATCATAGGTTCTGCGGGAATGTATACACAGGACAATGTTTCCTATGTCTTGCAAGGACAGTGATGTTACATTGTTTCATTCATATCATTGTCCTAAGAAATGCATGCTGTTTCTCACTCAGTCATCTGACCTTGTTTCTTTATGAATGAACACAAGTATTAGGTATCATGTATGTCAGCGTTTAACACTTCATCTATGCACCTAGCTTAGTTTTCCTTTGGATCTTGCTTTCTACTTTTATATTCTGTCCATCTTTATTTTTAATATTTTTTGTAGCCATGTCACAAAAGGATCTGGAAGATTATTGCTTTACCTACAATGACCCAACTCATCATGCAGATTTTTTGGAATCCTTTAGAATGTTTTACAAAGAGGGTCTCTTCACAGACATCACCTTGCTGAGCTCCTCTGGGAAGGGTTTCCAGTGCCACAAGGCTGCCCTGGCTGCTTGTAGTCACTACTTCAAGGTGATGTTCACAGCTGACATGAAGGAAAAGTCCAACAGCCAGATCAAGATCTCAGGGATTGATGACAACATTTTAGAGGCACTACTGAACTACACTTACACTTCTCAGATCAGGATCACAGCCAAGAATGTCCAGAGTCTACTACAAGCTGCTGACCAGCTCCACTTTGTTTCTATCAAGGAAGCCTCTGAGCAGTTCTTGGTGAGACATTTGGATGTGGACAACTGTTTGGGCATGCATTCCTTTGCAGAATTTCATATCTGCCCATCTTTAGAGAAGGAATCCAGAAGAATCATTGTGTCTAGATTCCAAGAGGTTTGGACTCAGGAAGAATTTTTGGACATCTCTTTCGAAAAACTCTTGTACATCCTTTCCCAGAAGAACCTCAATGTCTGGACAGAGGAAGTACTTTTGCAGCCTTTAGTAAGGTGGATTGGGCATGATTGCAGGAAACGTGTAGAACATATATATGACCTACTCAAATGCATTAAGATTGACATTGATGACAGCTATCTCAGGTCCTCTTTGGAGTTGCACAAGAAACATTTACTCACAGAAAACAAGATACAATCTTTACTGTATTATGCTGTAAGGAGGCAACCACAAGAAGTGTCTAAGCGATCCACTGCAAGTATGTTTGTGGTTGGGGGTTATTATTGGCATCCCTTGTCTGAGGTACACTTGTGGGATCCAGAAAGCAACAACTGGGCTCAAGGGGCAGATATGCCAGATCATACAAGAGAAAGCTACAGTGCCACCAACCTAGGACCTCACATTTATATTACTGGAGGCTATAGGACTGATAATATAGAAGCTCTGAACACTGTGTGGATTTATAATACAGAAACAGATGAATGGACAGAAGGCTGCCCCATGATCAATGCAAGATACTATCACTGCTCTGTCACCCTGGCTGGCTGTGTGTATGCTTTGGGTGGGTATAGAAAGGGGGCTCCAGCACAGGAAGCTGAGTTTTATGATCCACTAAAAAAGCTTTGGTTCCCTATTGCCAACATGTTAAAAGGTAAGTTACATATGACTGTTTATGATGAGAGCTTGTGACTTGACTTTGTTTCAAAATGTGAAACTTTTCAGATATGCACAGAACTGTATAATAAAATGAACATACATCTGATCACTTTGAAGGAGGCAGATGCAAAAAGTGCCCATCCGTTCTTTACATATGCTGGCTATTTTTTAAAACTAGCTTTGTGAGCACTTGATTGTTCGTCCTCATCATCCTCTACCCAGTAGCAAATAATTTGAAATTCAGCTAACAGCTGACATTTCTGCACTGGCTGCCTAGATGGAAAAAAAGGCAGGGCAGCAGTGGTTGATAGAAATCACACCTGCAGCTTTGTTAGTGTGATATTACATATACTGGGATTAGTAGGTAATTGTTCAGACACCTTGAAAAATCTCAACTGATACCTGTAGGAAGATCTTCCACTCTTAGAAACGACTGGGCATTTTCTGTGAATGTGTGGAAGAAGGTGAGCCTGGCCAGGAGACTTTTCGTGAACAGGCTGTGCAATTCCCAGTGGCTGCAGTGCAAAGATCTCTGAAATACAGACAGGTAAATGGAAGTCTGAGAGGAGAGAGGTTGCCAGGGCCAATATTTAAAGGATAACTAACTTGCAAGCCTAATACATTTACAATGAGCATTGCAAAATAAAAATTATAATTGCATATTTTCCCAAAGCTGCTACACTGCTCTGGGGTCTGTATCATGAAAACAGTACCACTCAGGAGTTACACAGCCCTTGCTTCCTTCACCTTCCTCTCAAAGTAGTTGTTATCCCCTTATAAGAAGATATGGAGTATCCGAAGAGGTATGCGATACCCTGGCCAAATAATGGGCAGGCAGTGCTTAGAAGCATTTTGGAAAATATACAATAAATGATGTAGTGCATTGTGTATTCTGTATTTGCTCATAGATCATTAGGTATATGATTGGATGTTGGCAGCTTCATTGGTTTCAGAAATTTAGGGATTTAGGTAGGAGTGCAGGAGGTTCTCACTTACATTTTGGAAAATATGGTACCCAATATTAACTATTTTTAAAATCATTACTGGGGCAGCTTGCTCTTAAGTCAAAGTATGTAATGTACTGTGTTGTGCTAATTTGCTGTCTTTGTCAAGGCATATTTACGTAATGTGAAAATGTTATTATTTTGCCATTTTACACTATAACTTTCTATATTATAGTGCAGGGCTGTTAATTCATTAACAAAAGGAAAAAGTGCCATCATTTGGGGTGTAACCAGCCATCAACGGAATCTCTCTGACTCACCCTATCTTGGGGTGCGGATTATTAATTCATTAACTTCCCCTTGTACAACCCTTTTTTAGTGTCCATTGTCTAAAGCTGGATACACACTGTTAATCTTTTTTCAGTCAACCAGCAGGCAGAATGAAAAAACAATAACAGATGCCTTCATCCACACAGGATGCAGGAACCCCCCCCGCCATGCTATTACATTCTAACAGTGGGGACTCCCCACTGTCAGAATGCACTGATGTACTGATCAGTGCTGCAGCTGATTGGCTGAAAGCCACTGATCTAACAAAATTTTCCAGCAGGACTGTTCAACAGAAGCTGATCTAATGATCTGCTTCTGTCCAACAGAGAGGGCTACACACAGACTGAAATTTGGCCAGTTCCCACTGAACTGGCTGAGTTTTGATTTGTGTGTAACCAGCTTAAGAGTGTCTAGAATAGTAAATGTTTAGTTTCTTCTGTTGGGGAATCCATTATTACATCTGTTACTATATAACATTGGTTAGCTACAGGATAGAATGCCCATAGACAGGGGAACATGCTGGAATGTCTCTGCTCATCTTTGAATTGGTTACTGGAGTGCTAGGTCCCACCTTATCCAGCCAAGGATGGCCATTGTGCATGTAAGTTACTTTGATCTTTCATTCTTCCCCATAGAAGAGTCCTGTAATAATATCCCTCTTCCCCTTGCACAACCCTTTTTAGTGTCCATTGTCTAAAGCTGGGTACACACTGTTAATCTTTTTTCAGTCAACCAGCGGGCTGAATGAAAAACAATAACAGATGCCTTTATCCACACAGGATGCAGTAATCCCCCCGCCGTGCTATTACATTCTAACAGTGGGGACTCCCCACTGTCAGAATACACTGATGCACTGATCAGTGCTGCAGCTGATTGGCTGAAAGCCACTGATCTAACAAACGTTTGCAGGACTGTTCAACAGAAGCTGATCTAATGATCTGCTTCTGTCCAACAGAAAGGGCTACACACAGACAGCTACGCACAGACTGAAATTTGGCAAGTTCCTGCTGAACTGGCCGAATTTTGATTTCTGTGTAACCAGCTTAAGAGTGTCTAGGATAGTAAATGTTTAGTTTGTTTTGTTGGGGAATCCATTATTACATCTGTTACTATATAACATTGGTTAGCTACAGGATAGAATGCCCATAGACAGGGGAACATGCTGGAATGTCTCTGCTCATCTTTGAATTTGTTACTGGAGTGCTAGGTCCCACCTTATCCAGCCAAGGATGGCCATTGTGCATGTAAGTTACTTTGATCTTTCCCTCTTCCCCATAGAAGAGTCCTGTAATAATATCCCTCTAAGGGCAAATTGTGCTGGTTATTAGGAAGAGGCCATTTTCAGCAAGTGATGTTCAAATTGGGAGAATAGCTTTTGATTATCTGCTCATTTATGGCCACCTTTACAAATGGTTAGAAATAACTAAATTTCATAATATAACATGTATCATATAGCAGGAGAAATATAATGCAATGAGAGCAGGTATTATGATAATGTTACTTATATGTTGGGATTTGTATTATTTGATATAGATCAGGGGTGTTCAATCTTTTAAAGAGTGAGTGCCACTTAAGTGACTTGGTCGGTAACCGGTCATGAGCCACAAAGAAATAAAATAGTTAAGAATTAAATTTTTTTTATTTAGAATAGCATAATGAACATTTTCTTCCTACAGCCGTTGAATGCCGGCAGGAACAAAGAGTAGGAGAGCCAGCTTTCAGCAGTTGCAAGAGGAAAATGGAGAGGATCGGTTCCTGTATATGCCACCTCTCCTGTCCAAGGGCAAAAGAGAATGCGACAGGGAGGCCGACCCAGTAGCAATGGACGGGTTCACCACTGCGATCCTTGGCGCTACCCTAGTGGTTGGGATGTGTGGTAAAAACATGTTTCAACTATGGGGTTTTACCGCCTCCCAAACTGCAAATGTAAAGAAGCCCTTGCTGTCCTAAATCCCCTATAAGGCTGCTTTCCTCCGCTTTGTCATAGACTTCTATTAGATTTTGCAGGTGTGGTACATTTTCTGAAAGCGCACCAAACTAGCAGGATATAATAAAAGAAGTGTGCTTCCCAGGTTTGAGGTCAAGGGCCACATCAGAGGGCTATAGATCCTGTAAATTCCTGAATACATGTAGATACCATTTAATTGATAAAAGTCTGGCTGTTAAAACATTAACAGAGTTAGGACAGCAGAAAACAATAATATTATAGACCATATGAATCTTGCTGTGTGCATCATGCCTTGTAGTGTAAATCTAACATGGTTAGATTCCTCTTGTTCAGCCTGTGGGCTAATATGTGCTCAGCTCTCAGAGCTCTTGTACAGTATGTAACTGCAGCTCTGCACCCCCTGCTTTGTGAGTCTGTGAAAAATCCTTTTAATCTCTGAGCTTTACAAGAATGTACAGGACAAATGGCTGCAGATAAACAGGTACAAGGTATGTAGAATGATTTTTTTGAATCTCTGTGTTTCATCTGAGACTAGTCATTTCATTGGGTATAGGTAACAGGTTACAACCACTTTAAAGGTAAAGCAGGTGCCAATCCATTCCATGTAGGTCAGGGGCTAACTGACCATTTGGAAACTCGGCCACTGCCCGAGGGCCCGGGGTCAGTAGGGGGCCCCATGAGATGCCCCTGTTACCTTTTTCATAGGCTTTTTTGAGTTTGGGGCAAGGACACGGGCCCCATGATCCCCTATTGCCCGGGGGCCCCATGAGTTGTCAGTCCACCCCTGATGTAGGTAAATCCAAGTTTTCCAGTTTCTAAAAAACTGAGGAGGAATAACTGTCCATCTATAGATAAAATCAAAAGTAACAAACAGCTGGCAATCTGACAGCTTGGCAATATATGTAATAAACAGTTGTGAGTATGAATTATTCAATATACAGCTCAAAATCTGGCTGTAATTATGGAATAAGAAAATCTCTCAAGTTATCTGTCTAGTAATGGAATTGTGTATCTGTACCCACAATGTTGGAGAAACATTTGATCCATACCAATAAAGAGTGGGTTGAGGGTAGTTTTGATTTTATAGAGAAAAAAAGGAAGAGGCTGTTGAGAACATATTGTTGTTTAAGAAAAATATTCATTATTAACTCCTTGGCGCAGAGCGCACACAAATATGCAACCTCTCTCAGTAGCTGGGCCTTGGTGCCAAGGGGCCGCATATCTGCGCACCCAATGTAAGCAAAAGGATGTGCCGAGAGTGTGCACCCTGAACACTCCCGGCACAGTCGCTGGCGCTTCACGGAAAGGTCCCGATTGCTGCTTGTGGTCGGGAGCAGGGGCGGACTTACCATTTGGAAACTGGGGCACTGCCCGAGGGCCCGGGGTCAGTAGGGGGCCCCATGAGATGCCCCTGGTACCTTTTTCATAGGCTTTTTTGAGTTTGGGCAAGGACACAGGGGCCCCATGATCCCCTATTGCCCAGGGGCCCCATGAGTTGTCAGTCCACCCCTGGTCGGGAGCTTTCCGATCCTGTGACTGTCACATGATCGGAAAGCACAATCATGGCGGGCACATGACCCTAAACCCCCCCCCCAGCCTCCCGGCGTCACAAACCCCTTAAAGGACCGGCAGGCACCGGCGCCAAGGTGTTAATAAAAAGTTACATTTACACTAAGACAAAAATGAAAAAAACATTGTGATGGTTGAAGATGTAACAAATGTAACAGTGTACTCCTTCTGAGGGATTCCACACTCAGTAGGTGAAGACCGGTA